TTTTATACAACATTTAATCATTTAGCTTCCAAATTGTACTTTGAAATTTAAAACAGAATACCGGAATTTTCATGACAGATTATCAACTGAATCTCATCGGATCAAAGCATTTGGAAGCACCAGCGTACAAACGGTTACAGACATGGCAAGTTAGCAGTAACAATAGGCAGATATTATTATTATTAATATTATTATTATTATTATTATTATTATTATTATTATTTCTCTTCTTATTATTATTCTTTTTATTATTACTATTATTATTGTTATTATTATTACTCTTATTACTATTGTTATCAATGTTATGAAATTTATCAAAAATATATTTGCATTCGAAATCCATGAAAAATTTAGTGTTTCAATGAAAATAACGAAACAACGAATAACACAAAATGGAAATAACCATTTTTTTTTTATAAAAATTATTAAAAAGCAATTTTTTTCGGCAAAACTATGTTGGTTTAGAAAATATCAGCAGCGTAGTTTTTGGATGCAAAGAAAAAAAAAAGCTTCCAGTAATAACAACAAACTTGATCAGTTGTTTGTTTTTGATAAAACAAGAAAACAAAATTTCAAACTCAAAGTTCGCCAAAAAAAATTTGCCGTTCTTTTGTCCAAAAAAAAAAGAAACAAAAAAGCAATGAAAAAAATATATATATGTACATCTTAGCGCCAAATAAAAATAAAAAACAGGACAAAAAATGACGAACAAATTTAACTAATAAAAAAAATCATCCAGAAAGAAAAAAAAAGCCCAGACAGAAAACTGCTAACCAACTGTTCATCGACGACCATTTATCAGCGAAAAATTACTGGGATAGCTAAAAAAAACCGTAAACATAAACAAGCATTACATCAAAAATTTATTGTAACAAAACATACAAGTTTTTTTTTCTTTGCCATATTCTCTAACAAAAAAGAATAATTACAGACAGAAAAAAGTATGTACAATTAAAATTGAGATTTAAAACAAAACAATAGTAATAAAATCGTCAAGAAGAAAAAAAATAATGAGAAGGTTTATATGTTAGTGAACTGTAAACTGCATATAACTGTTAAAGTCGATAAAAACGTTAGATATTTGAAAATCACATTGATATAGAGAGAAAAGAGTTCATTGCAGACGTAAAAAAAAAA